TCAGCAACTTCCCCATGCACACAGCGTCTGATTACCCCCATATATTCTTTCTCCGGAAGATGACAATCATTTGCAGCTGATTCAAATAATGCAAAAAAGGCAGCAATATCCTCACCTGGCTTCAGCTCTGGGAACTTTATACGAGACCATCATCCTGATTTTGGGTGCGATGGTTCTGGAGCATATTCATCTGTTGCCCATTTTTGCCCAAGGAACTGAGTTAGCAGAGTGCCTAATTACAGCTGGTCTTGGAATTGATCCACTGGTCACACAGATGGCACTGTTGCTGCTGATTGCTCGCTTTGAGGCACTATACGGTGCGTTGATACAGTCATTTGGGCATTCACAAAGGGATTCCCTCCATTGTTCACTGGCTGAGGTGGGCATGAAGGCTGTAATTACTGAGGTGAGGTATCAGCATAATTTTCTTTTGGTCTGCTTTGTGGTCTATCTTGCCACAGATATGGGTCTGTTTCCAAATACAGGCCACGTCTCTGGAGAATGCTGGGCAATTCATTATTATCCACCGAAATCACTCCGAGCCCCCACAAATCATCTTCAATGCAAAAGTGCGGCTGCACTGATAGTTCAGAGAAAAACTTTCTAGTACAGCTAGATGGTGCAGCAAGCTCAGTTCCATAAAGTATTTGGTCAGGCAAAGGAAGCTTTATGGTCTGCACTCATACTAGCTTTGTTTCAAAGAAAAACAAACAAAAAAGACAAAAAACAGTGTTAAGCCCCAACTGTTGGCACTGTAAAAGTGCGAAAGGATGGTACTCCCACATGTGGTGGGAATGCCCCGAGGCTAAAAAACTATGGAATAATATATTAAAAGTGATAAATGAGCTTTTTAAGGTTAAGCTAAATATAGATTTTGGGCTAATGACGATAAGTACTCTAGGTAATGAGAAAATAGAGAAAAATAATCAAGACTTATTGAGAGCAATAATACAAGCTGGGAAAGCAGTAATAGCACTAGGGTGGAAAGATAAAAGTAAACGGACGGAAAGAGCTTGGCATAATTATCTGTTTGATTCTGTCCAGTCAGACATAATGGCTACAATGACACAGGACCTACCTTGGGAAGATATGACAACAAGGATCAAGAAAAAATGGTTGCTTTATCTAAAGTGGATTAAAGAAGAAAAGAATGAAGACGTTCGGTGGAAGCTACAGGCCTTGTGTTCCAGGCTGGAAGAGAAAGACTAGACTGAGGGGGGAGGAAATGGGGAGAAAATGTTAAAACCACTTAAAAGGATTAATGGAATGATATAATGTACAAATTAAATAACAAATAAAAATATGAATTAAAAAAAGTAATAAGTGAAAAAATAGATGTCTGCACTAGAGTGGTATCAAACTCCTGATGCTCCCATAAAAGATCCCTTAAATTTTCTACCTCTCAGAAATACAGGACAAGAGCTCTGGATGGATGGAAGTCCAAACGTAGTGTTGGGTATATGTTGTGGGACAGTGAACACACATGGCTATCATGTGGTGTAATGAGAGATCCCCTGCCAGGATCCATGCCATGGAGACATCCAGGCTAGACTACTGTAATACATCTAGTCTGGATGCCACCATGGTGTGGCTCTGGGTGGCCGGATCAGCTGTATCAAGGTGAGGAGCTATCTTATGGGTGAGGCTGAGTTGGGAGAAAGCATTATTTGGATAGGTGATTACTTGCTTCTACAGCACTGCTGTTGGATCTGGTATAACTCTTAACTAAGTCAGCAAAGGGGTCAGCTGAACTCCATCAAAACTGGGAAGCTTGATGTCATTAAAGATCTCCACCTTCCCAACCAACATGACCTCTCTTTTTTCAGGGGCTAGCTGCTTTTTGTTCACGCTTAGCCAATCTACCAGAGTCTAGCTGGACAACAATTTAGGATTTATAATGCCAAAAAATAGACCTTCCAAAGCAACCATTTTCTCCAGGGGAACTGTTCTCTGTTTGTCTTTCAGGAAAGGGAAATATGAAATAGTGGGGAAGGGGAAAATGGGATACATCCCACACAAGTCCTTGCCGGTTCTCAAGAAGGTCCCCACCCCCAATATTTAATCCTAACAACTATCTTGCAAGGACTGTTAGCCTGAAAATGGGACAGGCTAAAGGGCACCCAAAGACGTTCCAAGCCTACTGTGAATTTGAGCCCAGATCCATCAAGCCATAACCCAACACTCTTGCCTCTTAAATGACCCATATCATGAATGGGGTCAAACTGGGTTGGGCTCATTCCCTGGGATCACTCATGGCCCCATGTGTGAGTCTCAAGTATCTGCCAGAGGATTTCTTATTTAGAACTTCATACACAATTGGGGTGGGGGGAGAGACATGCCGCAGTAACCTTTGACACATTCATGAAGCCCAATTCATAAAAACTCCACAAAGCTCAAAAAAACCCAAAGCCTGATTTACCTGATACAAATAATAATCTCTTTAATGAACTATGACCTTTCCTTAGCTGAGTTTTGTTTTCTCAGATTCATAAAGAAATCCTTAATCTAGGGATGCCTGCCAGCTACCTGGAGGAAAAACATGTTATCTCTTCAGATGTCCATTTCCACCCAGTAAACACGTGGGAAAGAGGCAAGATATCCTCCCCCCCCCCTTCAGGCCTGCTAGCAATCCTAATGCAGGTACCTTTCCAAATTAAAGTAGTGAGGTGAAATTTCTCAGCTTCCTGCATAAAGGCATAATCTCCAAGAAGGAATTCAAGGGGAGCTCTGAGTTAGAGGTGAAAAGTAAGTCTTGGCCCAGGCCTTACTCTGGGTCATTTCTAGCTCAGGGACAGGGGGGTGTGGGGGGGGGGGAGAACAGGAGGAGGGACTCTTACTTCACTTTCCTGATTCTCCCTGGGAGAATCTGGACGTGGGTGTGGAGGACAATGGGGATTGGGGAATTTGTGTCCTACAAGATTCACCTGCCAACTCCACAGAGACCAGTCCATTTCGACAATCCTGGATGATACTGAGAGGTCTGACCCCTTAAAACTTACCGAGTTGTTGGGGTGGGGGACACAAGCTTTTTCTTCCAACTCAAATAAATCCTATGGCCAGAGGCCTTTGGGCGGCTTCAAGGTGGTGAAACCCAAAAAAGCTCACAGCAGGCTGGACTGGGGAGGGATTGGGGTTGTGTAATACCTCTCTAGAACTCCTTGTCAGATAAAAACATCTGTGAAATAAGGATGCCCGCGAGTCACACAATGTTTATGCCAGTAGCAGAGAAGCTGTAGATATCTGTTACCCTCAACTTGTCTATTTCCTCACAGAACTGGGGAAAGGAAAGGGGTTTTGCCAGTTTTGTAGATGTCAGAAAGAGTTAGACCGGCAGGTAGCCTGAAGTAGAAAGTTTCACAGGAGGAGGATGCCACTAGAAAGGCCCTCCTTTGTGTGACTACTTTCTTTTTTTAAAAAAAAATTTTTTTTTTTTTGATTTTTCAAACATACATCTAATAAAAACCGTATAGTTTTCTTTTACATTTTTTGGAGCATCTTATCCATACATTTCTGGATTCAAACATGCCTAAAGCTCCTTCCACAGTCCAACCATTTTGAACATTTCATGCTGATTAGGGTAAGATTTCTACGTCGATTCAAGCTTTCCACAAAAGTTTATATAGAAGTGCTTCAAACGGTCTGTTGTTGACTTTTAGCTGTGAAATATGAGGAAAACTCTTTTCATGGGCTAAGCAGGTACGTGGTCTCTTCTCATGTTAATTTTTAGATGCTGCAGAATATTTAACTGCTGAAATCCTCTTTCCACTCTGAGAATTCAAAAGGTTATTCCTCTGGTGGGTTCTCTAACACCATTGAAAACCGCTGCTGTTACTCAATGTAATTCCACACTTTGAGCACTCAAAAAGTTTTTTCCATGAGAGATAGTAGGTCCTGCTGATCTGAGCAATCAGAAGGCTTCTCCCCTGTGTAGTTCTTGGGTGCAGCTGAAGAGTTCCACTCTGACTGAATCTTCTTCCAAAACATGAGCATTCAAAAGTTTTCTCCCCTGTAGGAGTTGTCAGGTGCTGTTGAAGACTGCCACTCAACCTGAATCTATTTCCACACTCTCAGCATTAAAGAGGTTTCTCCCTTGTGTGCGTTCTGTGATGCCGTTGAAGATGGGTACTCCGACTGAATCTCTTTCCACACTCTGAGCATTCAAAAGGTTTCTCCCCTGTGTGGGTTTTCTGATGCTGTTGAAGAGTGCCGCTGCGACTGAATCTCTTTCCACACTGTGAGCATTCAAAAGGTTTCTCCCCTGTGTGACTTCTTCCATGCTTGTGAAGACTGCCTTTCTCACTAAATCTCTTTCCACACACTGAGCATTCATATGGTTTCTCCCCTGTGTGAGTTCTCTGATGCATTTGAAGACTACCACTCCCACTGAATCTCTTTCCACACTCTAAGCATTCAAAAGGCTTCTCGCCTGTGTGTGTTCTCTGATGGTATTGCAGACCGCCACTCCCACTGAATCTCTTTCCACACTCTAAGCATTCAAAAGGCTTCTCCCCTGTGTGGGTTCTCTGATGGTATTGAAGAACGCCGCTCTGACTGAATCTCTT